TTGTACAATGAAAAGTTGTATAAAAAAGCAAGACATATTTTGTTAATAAAATTCTCCCAGCCAGGGAAATAAGTCTTCCTCCCCAAGTGTTTGTCATTCTCAATGCTTTATCAATAATGAAATTGAAGTCATCTTTGACTAGCCTTCTCATTGCAAGCTTTACTCCAAGATAAGTAATCTGATTTGCTGGATTGAATCCCATTATTCGGCAGATGGATTTCCTCCTCTTCCTTCTAACATTTTTGTTGAACATTATAGAAGACTTATTTACATTGATGGACAAGCCAGTCCAATTGCAAAAATTGGCCAAAACCAATTTAATATGCTTAGTAGCTTTAAGAGAGGCTTCAGAGAAAATAATCACATCATCTTCATATAATAAGTGATAAATAGAAGGTCCATTTGCACAAATACGAACTCCCAATACATCACTTCTTTGTTTAAAAGCATTAGATAATAGTTGTGCACAAAGAATGAAGAGATAAGGAGACAAAGGGCAACCTTGTCTAAAGCCGCAATTACCTTCAATCCAATTTGAGAAGCTACCATTGATAGATAAAGTGAATTTAGAATTTTTAATACATTCTAAAATCAGTTTAGAGAAGAAACTAGGAAAACCAAAATAGCTCAAAGCTTTTTCCAAGGTTAGCCAACCCATGGAATTATAAGCTTGTTCCATATCAACTTTAAAAGACACAAAGCCTTTTTGAGAATTTGAAATTCTAAATTTGTGCATGACCTCTTGGGCTATTAAGACATGATCAGATAAGGATCTACCTTTGATGAATGCTGCTTGTTCTTCAGAGATTAATTTATGCATGATTGGGGACAATCTATTCATAAGAATTTTTGCCACCACTTTGTAGACAGAATTACATAAACTGATCGGTCTATAATTTGAGGGAGTTAGAGGATTACTGATTTTTGGGATCAAAACAATAATAGTCTCCTTCCATATATGATCCATAATAGAAGTATCAAAAAACGATTTAATGGCATTCCATAAGTCACCTTTTATAATAAACCAGTAGGCTTTAAAAAAAGAGAAGGTGATACCGTCCATTCCTGGGGAGATGTTGTTGCCCGTATTCTTTACTGCTTCCATCATTTCTTCTACAGAGAAATCCTTGCTCAAATAGTTTCTTTCTTCGTCTTCAAGGCAACTCCAGCAATGAGGCCAATTTTTAAGGCTGCAGCTCCGGAACCTCCATTTTTCTTTGAAATGGTCTAGCAAGACCTGATGAATGATAGCTTGATCTTCTATTACTTCCCCCGTACCATCTTTAATTTTTACAATAAAGTTGGAATGTCTTCTAGCTGAAGCATAAGCCTGAAAGAAATTTGAATTTCGATCTCCCTCTGTCATCCATTTGACTTTTGCCCTTTGTCTCCACCAAGTATCTAATCGAGCAAGTGTAGAGTTAAGCTCCTCCACTTTTGATTTTAGTTTCCAGCATTCGTCATCTGAGAGAAAGCCATCGTTTGCTTCCTTCAATTGCAGTTCTTCAATTTGCATAATCAATTCCTTCTTTTGGGAAATCAAATTTTTCAATTTTGCCTTGCTCCAAAAGTAAAGTGCTTTGAGAGAATTTTTCATTTTGCTGTTAAGAATTTTTTAAGCATTGCCTTTATAATTTCTCCTCCAAACTTTTTCCACCACAGTCATAGAAGCTTTATTGGAAGCCCAAACATCCTCATATCTCATGATCTTCTTGCTAGCTTGTTGAACAGTAATATTCAATAAGATTGGGCAATGGTCTGAAGCTACCCGAGCTAGATGCCTTATAAAGAACCGATTTTTTGAAGAAATAGCTGCTGGATTGATAAAACATCTATCAAGCCTCTCAAGGATTTGGTCCACCCCTTTTTTATTGTTGCACCAAGTGAATTTAGGACCTACAAAACAAACTTCATGGAAGTCATTGTTAGCAAGGAAGTTCTTCATTTCTTTGGTTCCAAGGGATAGATTAAATCTTCTCCCTCCCCTTTTGTCTTCACTAGATAAGATGCAATTGAAGTCTCCACCTATGATCATTGGTATCTCCTTAGAGTTATAAAATTCCAGCTTTTCCCAAAGCATTCTTCTAACATAGGAATCCTTGTTTGCATACACAGAGACTATTCTCCAAACTCCTACATTGAGCATGTCCAAGTCTCCCACTATTACTTGAGAGGAAGATTCTAACACATGAAAAGAAGAAAAGTTTGATTTCCAAAGAATAAGAATGCCTCCTGAGAGTCCTTCTGAAGGCAAATGGATGAAGTCCCATTCAGTTCCAATAAATTGGTCCACATCTTTTCTATCAAAATCAGAAACTTTAGTTTCCAATAAACCAATAAAACAAACACCATATTCTTTTACAAACTCTTTTAAATATAGAGAAGCTTTTCTCTTCCTAGCTCCTCTACAATTCCAAAAATTAAGGGAAGAGTTTATTGATTAAGAGGGGTAGAAGACCCCGGTTTATCTTTGAGGTCAAACTCCACTCTCCTGCTCCTAGGAGTAGAATTAATAGATCCTAAACCTTTCAACTGTTTAGTGCCTTTCCTTTTGTTGGCAAAAGGGCCATCATTATTGTTTTTAAAATTCAGCTTATGATCTTTATTGCTTATTGTATTATGCTCTTCTACATATTCATTTCCTTTGTCTTCACATACTAAGTTTTCCTCTGGAATAGATGAACTGATTTCTCCTTCTTCAATTACATCTTCCAGGATGCTGAATTTATTATCATAATTTATTTTAGAAGGAATAACATTCATACCTTCTTCTTCTTGAATAGGTGGAAGTGCTTCCTTTGTATTGTTGATGTTTTGATTGACTCCCTCTGCACAGTTAACTGAAATCTCCTCATTGTTTTCCTTTTCAGCTTCAATTGCCTTCCAAACAGCCTTATTGTTACCAGCAGCAGCTTTATTTAAAGCATTCACCTTGTCATCTCGAGAAGATGTCCTGAAGTTTTTTTAAAAAAAACTTTTCCTGCCATAGTTGACTTGCAGCCATGGTCCATATTCACTATTTTCTTCATGAACAGCAGCAATTGTTTCTGGATTACTGATTTTTGGCTTCTCAACAGGAACCACCTTTGTGCTCTCCTTGGTTGTATTCGAAACATTGTTTTCATTATTTAAGTTCTCCAAGCAAGTGTTTTTGTTGTGCCCAATTTTCCCACAGCAAAAGCAAAATTCTGGAAGCCTTTCATATTCAACTTTTTGAAAGAATTTGCCCATACTTCCTTCCACCCAAACTCCCATGGGTAGTTTAGCGTCCAAATTAAGACAAACACAAACTCTTCCAAATTCTCTCCTGCTCCATTGGAACAAGTTGCCATCAATCAAGATCGGTTTACCAACCATGGAAGCAATTATACAACTGTTGATCTCATCCCAACAAAGAAGAGGGAGATTAGGTAGTCTAATCCAAATAGGAGCACTCAAGCCTGTCAAAGAAGTTGGATTGAAGTTAACCGACCACTTTTCCATCCCAATGATTTTATTATTAACAAACCAAGGTCCATTGGAAAAGATAGCCTCCATTGCTTGTTCTTCAAAGAATGAATAGAGAACCCAATCCATTCCTAACATGGTTAGGTGGAACTTTCCATAAGATGCCCATTGTCTTCTAAGTTCTACGCTCACCACTGAGAAAGGAATTTTGCCTCCAAAGACCTTAATCACTAGAGAATTCTGTAATTTTCCTGAATTCTCCATCACCTTGTCTTCGTTGAGTTTAACAGTAGCTCCATCTTTAGATAGAAAGTCACCCAGATTCAGCTAGGAAACTTTGATATATTCCTTCCTGCTCCAGGCATTCTGCTGATTAGTAATCTTTGATCTTACTGTGACTTCATTCATATCTTCTTGATACATTCCCAGGTCTCCATTATTGCATTGTCGAACTTGGTTTAAGTCAGAAGAATTAATCATGGAAGAATTGTTTTTAGCTGAGTCAGAATGAGCGCTATTGCTAGAGCCCGCTTCATTTCGAACCAGATTATTTTCTTCAGGAGTCTTCTTACAAGCGGCATTTTGTAAAACAGTTTCCTTTCATTTGTCTAGAATTGGTTTCATAGAAAGCTTAGGAAATGGCTCAGGTGAAACAGAGTCTTTCTTATTCTGTTCAGAAACAGGATAATCAAAATACTTCTCATTAACACAATCTTCATCATCGGTTAGTACACCTTTTCCTTTCCCAGCAATTTCAGATGATTTTTTAGAGGCCATCAACGATCCTCCTTCCTTGATTATTAGTGGCATTCCCGATCTAATTTTAGCTTTAGAAGCTAAGGCAATGCTAGGACGGCTATCTCCTAACACAGGTGGAGATGAGGTAAAAGAATGACTTTAACCATGAGAACTGTTGCTGGTGGCTCGCCGCACCTCCATAAGGTCACCAGAGATAGGTGACCGGCATTCCGCCGTCGCCAGATGCAACAGCGGATATCCCGCGAACTTTAAAATTTGAAAAAAAACTGAAACAAACCAAAATTTTCTCAGAGCTTCTTTCTCTCTAGCTTCTCTCTAGCTTCTCTAGTGCAAGGTTACTTAGCATCAGGAACCACTTTTACAATTGACTCAACAAGGGAAAAAATTCAGACTTGACTCAACCTAAATCTACCCAATCTTGAGCTGGCTTGAGCTGCTTTCAATCTTGTGGTCTTGAAAAGTTAGTGGGCAAAGCAATCGTAGGAAATCATGAATGTTTGTTATCATCAAAAGTCTAATCCATAAAGTCAGATTTGCAATAATCTGCCCCTTTTTTATGATGGAAATCATACCCAAAAAATTTCAAGCAATTATGGCAGTTTAGTAAAAAATTCCCTAAATTTCAGAATTCAAAGTACATAATACATCAAACTACTCCCACTTTTGACATCACCAAAAGGAGGAAAATAAAACACAAAAAAAAAACATAACATAAACTAAAACACAACATAAGAAAAGAAAAACTACAGAAAATAGAAACTAAAACAAAAAAAAAAACAAAGAAAATAAGAAAAATGAGGGCCCTTGATCATCAGACGGAGGTGGTGGTGGTGGTTGCTGGAAGAAGGTGGAAAACGTTGCAAACTGTGCCCCAAACTAGGCCATGTCCTGGTCATCTTGCTACTACTGGTGTGCAACATAGGCATTGAACCGGGCCACACCCTCAGCGTGCTTCTGCTGTTGGTGTGCTATATAGGCATTGAATCGAGCCACATCCTCAGTGTGCTGCTGCTACTGGTGTGCTATGAACGTTTCGAAGTGGGTCTCCAAATGATCAAATCTCTTCACTAATTGATCCAGCTGAGAGTTCTGGTGGAAAGGAATAGGTTCTGGAACAGGAGCGGGAGTGGGAGCCTCCTCCTCCTCTGCCCCCTGAGCTTCCCCATCCCTTGGGTGGAGACGAGTACTATGAAGGGCATTGAAGGAATTGTTTGAGTAGAAAGGTGGCTAATGGTTGGGAGGTGTAGGATATTGAAGCTGGTATTTAGATTCTAAAACATAGGCAATGAAGTGTCCTAGAGCAAGATTGGGTTTTCTTCTATGACCTGGATCTCAAATGGTAGTCAAATGCTCAATGTAGTGAAAGATCAGGTCCGTGGCATTGAATTCCCTATGGGCCAGAATGTAAAAGGTAGTAAGTGAAAGCAGTGGAGTGATGTGGACTCGGTCCTCGGCTTATGGAATAATAGAAGTGGGAAGGACATGCTGGATTGTCCTAGCTTCTTTGAGTAAAGAGCTAGTCTCTCCAACATGAAAGTATGCGTTTGTGTGGCAAAGAAAGTGATTTGCAGTGGACCAGTCAAAGTCAGGATCAGAGATAAGGGTATGTAGCTTATCCCTAGTGGTGGATAGTTGCAACAGTTCAGCACAATCCTGATATGCGATCTCCAAAGGACATCGATTCACATAAGAGGAGTAGTGTAGGAGGAATTTATTCGAAGGTTTGCATAGAATTCAAAAAGAAGTTCAGAGCTAAAGTAGATCGTCCAGGCCGATTAGGTGGATCTTCCAGGACGATGCTTAATAATGGATCGTATCAGCCGAATGTAAAATGTTTTAAATCATGCGCCATGTGTATCGTCCAGGACGAACAGTGGATCGGCCAGGACGATTATCCAAAAATGGATCGTCCTGTTACAAATTTGATTTCATGAATTATGTTTTGATGATTAGCAAACACTCTTGCTTCTTTTCGACTGTCTTTTACTACTGACATTTTCAGGATTCAAAGATCGGACGGAAAATGGAATCAGCTCAAGAATGGGTAGATTAGGGTTGAGTCAGTATGTAATTTTCCTTTTTCCTTTTCTTGAGTCAATTGTAAATGTTTGAAGTGACTGATGTTAAGTAACCCTACACACACACACTTGAGAGATTTAGAATTTCTATTTTACTCACATCATCTCGGACGATATTTATATCGTCCTGGACGATTGAGTTCAAAATAGAAGTTCTAGTCAGGATTTCTTTGTTAAGGTAGCCGCAATTAACTAATCATCCTGGACGATATGCTTAAAATAGAAAGAAATAGCCGCCATAATCAATTTAGGTATTATGTATTTTTGCAAATTGGCTAGGACGATCGCAAGATCAGCCTGGACGATATTACACAATTATGCCTAAATTAATCCAAGAATCAAGGAAGTAATTAAGGATAATTGATACAATCACATCGTCCTGGACAATCTCAGGATTTGCTAGGACGATCTATTCAAAAACCCATAGTTGCTCCTGGACGATAAATATCGACCAACACAAATTCAGGGCGATGTTCTGGCCGACTAGGATCATATAGTTCAAATTCAGGGCGATGCTCTGGAAGATTTTTCTCTAATTTGAACTGATCGTCCTGGACGATCAAGCCAATTTTAAATCATCCAGATCATCTTCATGGCGATATTCTGGTCGATCTTCTGTGATTTGAACTGATTGTACAGGACGATAATATTATCGTTTAGGACGATAAATCAACAACTTGCATTTATTGAGCTCCTATGAAGCTCTTCTATTTAAGAGCTATTATTCAACATTTTTTAACATCTTTTGCTGTTGTCTTGACCTGAGAAAACCTAAAGGAGAGAGAGAGAGGGAGAGAGAGAGAGAGGATCTTGTGAGGGGGATCTTGTGAGGGAGTTCACAAGGGTTGCTCCAAGCATTTTTCCACTTCTTCTTCCCTAGAGACTCTTGTCCTTGGAAGGGTTGGGAGAGGTAAGCTTCAGCGATCGATCGAGGTTCTTTGCCTGCTTCAGGAGGAAGCAAAAGAAGTGGGGTTCTCTGCCTTGCAGGGGGTGGTAAAAAAGAGGTGTTTTGTAAGGGCTTCTGCGCCTAGCTGTGGGGGCTAAAGGAGAGTCACGTTGGTAGTACAATACTCAAAGGGCGCCTCCGGGGAGTAGACGTAGGTCAAGTTGACCGAACCACTATAAACCCTTGTGTTCTTTTTACTGCTTTCGCACTTTAATTTTCTGCACTTGTTTTCTATGGTGACTTTGGATTATGATATTCATTGTTCTCTTTGCTTAAAGATTTTTTAAAATACCAATTCACCCCCCCTCTTGGTTAGCCTTGGACCGATTCAAAGAGCTTAACATCCCTAACGAACTTTTAAGTGGTATCAGAGCGGGATTTATAAAAATTGAGTTTGAAAACTTTTTGAATTTTGATCGATGGCTAACTTTGGGAATTGTAATACAAATGAAGGATATTCTATAACACGACCTCCATTATTTGACAACCTTCATTTTGATTTTTGAAAAACCCACATGTCTACTTTTTTGCAATTAATCGATTATCACATGTAGATGCTTATTAAAGAAAGATATTCTCCACCTTCTCGTGAAATTAACGAAATTATAAATGAAGTTGCTTTTACTGAATGGACTTTCGATGAAAGAGAGTTTGTTCAATTGAATGCGAAGTGTTTAAACTATTTTTTCTGTGCGTTAAAGTCTGAGGATTACATAAGTGTTTCTACTTGCTCTACTGGTAAAGAGATATGGGATAGGTTGTGCATTACTTATGAAGGAACCAATGAAGTAAAATAATCTTGTTTGAATATTCTCTTGCATGACTATGAACTTTTTTATATGAAACCTTCTGAAATAATTTCTGATATGTATACAAGGTTCACTCAAATTATTACTTCTTTGCATGCCTTAGGAAGAGAACTTTCAAATTACAAAAAAGTAACTAAGATTTTGAGATGCTTGCCTTCATCTTTTAATGCTAAAATCATTATAATCACTGAACTTAAGGATTTAAACACATACTCAATTGATAACTTACTTGGCTCACTCATTGCTTACGAGCAAGAGGTGAATCAAAGAAATCTTCATGCAGGTGAGAAAAGAAAGGAGAAAACTGTGGCATTGAAGACCAACAACACAAATTATGATTCTTCTGTGTCTAAGAGCGATGACATTGCCTTAATCACAAGGCAGTTCAAAAACTTTCTAAGGAAGAAGCACAAGCATCATCAAAATTGGTGAAAAGGTAAGGATAACAAATATTCTAAAGGATCCTCTGATATGGTTTTTTATGAATACAGGAAACCTGGACACATGAAAGCTGATTTCCCTACACTTAAGACGCACACAAGCAAGGAAAAGAGTGAGGAGAAATCCAAGTTTAGAAAAGACAAAAAGAGACTTCAAAAGGCATTTTGGGCAGATTCTGTATCAGATTCATCAGAGACGGAACCAGAAGATGAGATAACAAACTTGTGCTTAATGGCAGGTGATCATCTTGATCAAGAAGAGGTATGTGAACTTTCCTACGATCAACTCCTTGAAGTTTCTGAAAAAATTCATGTATCATATAGGAAACTTAAGAAAACACATGCTAGCTTGAAATTGAAAATTTTTAATTTACAAAAAGAGCATAAAATTTTGACTAAAGATCAATTAATAATTGATTCAAATCATATGGCTCTACTTGATGAATTTGATGAGTTAAATAAAAAGTATTGTGAATTAATTGAAGAGCATGATTCACTAAAAACTTCACACACCTCACTTGAATATGATTTTAAGAAATCTAAAGAGATAGAGAATAATTTGAGGATTGAGAATGAGGTCTTAAAAAGTACTAACTTGAGGATTCAAAATGAATTGGATACATGTAAGAAAACTCGGATGACACCCACACTTGATCAAAAGACAAAACCTAGGAAGAGGCATTATAACTCAAACCATTTAAGAAATCATTTTTCTTGAGTTAGATGTTTTTCATGTGGCATGCTAGGACACATCTCACACACTTGCACAGTTCACAATAGTACACATTGGATGTGGAGACCTAAGGTGCAATATCCACAACATACCACACATGCATTGCATTCTAATTTTCATAAGAAGGGACCCAAACCTGTTTGGGTTCCTATATCTGACATTTGATGATCTTGTAGGTGGGCTCTCACAAGAGGCCTCGTGAGAGCATGTGGTACCTGGACAGCGGATGCTCTCGACATATGACTGGTGATGCCAATCAATTTGTTTCGCTGGAATCCAAGACTTGAGGCAAGGTTTCTCTTAAAGATAACACCCCCACGAAGGTGGTAGGCTCAGGTATAATTGGTAATTCTAATAAACCTTATGATTGAAAATATTTTGCTTGTAGATGGATTAAAGCATAACCTGTTGAGCATTAGTTAACTTTGTGACAAGCGCTTCATCGTGCAATTCTTTATAAATTCATGCATTGTAATTTTAAGTAAAAATACTATTTTGCAGGGAAAGATGATCAACAATGTGTACATGCTTGATTTAAATAACATTAAATGCACTGCTTCATTTTGCTTAAAAATAGTTGTTGATGATTCATGGTTGTGGCACCGGAGATTATGTCATGCAAGTATGAAAACCATTAGGAAAGTGACCCAAAAAGACCTAGTTAGAGGTATCCCCAAACTGATGTTTTCAAAAGACCACCTTTGTGATGCCTGCCAACTAGGAAAGCAAGTCCACTCCAATTTTCACCCCACTAAGGACATTAGCACCTCTAGACCTTTAAAAGTCCTTCACATGGATTTGTTTGGACCCATTAGTAGTGCCAGCTTGGGAGGGAAAGTCTTTGGTATTATGATTGTTGATGACTACTCGAGGTTCACTTGGACTAGATTTCTTTCACATAAAAATGAGTCTTTTG